TATAATTTGGAATCAGAATGTGAAGCATTAATAGAGTTCCGGAATATATGGTATAAAGTAACTGGTCTTGAGATTGCCCATTTTCAAGTATTATCGATTATACAGAACAAAAAAAAAGATAACTCATCTGAAACAGAAATTGATGAGATTATCGACCTATATTGTTAGACCCAAAGGATCATTGCTTCGCAATAGTATTATTGGTTGGAATTGCGACACCCACTAAAGATACTTATACAATAAATATTTTTTCATATATAAATAACTCCCAACTTCAAATTATATTCACCAATAACTATAGTCATAGTCCCTCGATGCTTGCAGTGTATCACAACATCTCCCACAGACCATCCAAGGATATTCGAGGTTTAAAGATGCTGATTGATTATAGTTCTTTTTCCCATGAGCAGTGATCTGATAATTTGGGTATTTTTTCATCAAATCTCCTATACTCATATTCTCATTCTTTGCCACGTATGCTTTATGAATGCCATCTATCATAACTTTTATCGTATTCTTATCATACGTATTGGAAGGCTCTGGTTCGAGAGTGATGGTATCTGATTTCTTAAATTTATGATCACCACAAAATCTCATCCCTACTACCATAAAGGAGTTTGTAACAATGCAATCTGTATACAATGGTGATGATATTTCCTTACAACTACAACAAGTATTAGACATGATTAAAACTATTTTTTTTGTACATAAATAATATTCAAGTTTAAATAGATGTTCACCTGATCCACATATCCCACAATCAATTACTTTTTTCATCAGGAAATTTTTGAGCAGAGGAACTCCGTATATCTCCGCATATCTCCGCCGTCGTTAGAAAACTCCAGAGTATCAAAAAATATATATATATATTTCGAAAATTTCCGAAAATTTATTTCCTCCGGAGATTTTCGAAGGTTTTCGCAAATGTTTATAATATTTTAATAACTTTCGAAAACCTTTGAAAATCTCCGGAGGAAATAAATTTTCGGAGATTTTCGAAATTTATATATATTTTTTTGATCCTCCGGAGATCTCTAACAATGGCGGAGATATGCGGAGTTTCTCCGCTCAAAAAATTTCCTGATGTTTATGACCCTTTATTTCAGAGAAATAACTTTCGAGCCTAGAGTCGCTCCTTCGGGCCTGTGAAGCAATGGCGCTTCAAGCCTATTTATATGGAATATGCGTCTCACAAACCACACAACTGCAATAATTAACAGAATAAGAAAAATATATGCTGATAAAGATGATATCAACGTGTTTGTCATAACAGGGATGGCTCCTATTCCTCCTATCAGAATTTGAGAATGCAGTTCAATCAAAGAGAAATTGTGATTTTTCTGTTGTTCAGAGTATGGTGTCACACTCTTTAGTATACTTGATGGTACATCAGAGCTTATAGCAGAGCTAGTGTCTTGACACATATGTATATCATCTGGGGATATATTGGGTTTTGGGTTAACTACTTTATCATGAGTTGTTGTAGAAATATTGATCCCCAGCGATGAGATATAGTTTTGAATTATTGAATCCTCAAGTGATACTTCATCATGAGCTGATACAATAGTAACGTTTTTTTTCGTCTCATTCATATTTTTTTTACGTGTTAAATACTTACTAAGATCATTATCCACAAATATATTATTGTTAGAGGCACGGTTTCACAGCTAGAATTTGATATTGAACTTTGTTCTTCACTTTGCATATTTTTTTTTTCCTCTCCACCAATTATAGATTCCGATATATCAGATTTCAGATGCTCCAATTCACTGATTTTTAAAGCTAATTCAATTATCTTGGATTTGAGAGACTCGATTTCAGACCTTTTCTTTGATGAGTCATTCTGAGATAAATTTAACCTAACTTTTAATAATCTTATTTCATTTCGAAATGATTTAATCTTCTCTAATTTTGTAGCATACTTAGTCTTGAATTCAGCAAGAGAAATATCTTTATGAGTATTTTCAATTTGTAGTCATCTAGCCTCATTAATAAGTTTCAGATCATGGGTACGTAATTTCTGGATATCAGTATTAGCATCTCCTAGTTTCTGACTCAACTTATTCCTTTCCCAATCCCATTTATCCCTCTCCCTGTTAAAATCTTTTTCTTGCTTTTCATACTTATCCTGCAATTTAGCATTATAATTATGCACTTTAGAAGAACGTTGGAGAATTTGATGTATTTCCTTCTCGAGATCTTTTACATGGGTCATATTAAATAATAGATAATATAATAAAAAATACAGATAGTATATATGGGATATGTGCTATATATACAATGTATATTATATGTACTGTCATATATCGTTTCTACCTCAGGAGAAAGATAAAAACGGAGAACTAGTAGCAGGGAGGCACTTTAGATGGACAGG